AAAAAAGGGTCCAAAAAAGCCGGCAGACGGCAGGCTCGTTGAGAACTCACTCGAACGGGGTAACTACCTATTGGCTTTTTTCTAATCGAAAACAATACAGAGGCTAGAGTTCCTTGTGCGATGGCGTCCTGGACTTCCTTGTATCCCGCCACCTCTTCGAGACTCATCCAGGATTACCTCCAGGAACACTCACAGACTTGCGGTCTGCAGCCGTGAACAACAAATGGTTTGCTCGGCTGGTTGTGAGGCACGGCTTACATCAGCATCTTCAGCATGGCTTGGTGGAACTTGACTGCGAGATCCGAAAGTTCGTGCAAAACGTGAAGGAAAAACCAGACGCTTCATGCTTCGAAGACTTGTCGGCCCCAAAGGTACGTACACATATTCCGGTGGTCTTCTCTACATTCTGGCCTCTCTTATCTCAGGTGCTTGGAGACTTACTTGAAAGCATAACCGGTGCCATATTTGTGGACACTAACTTCGATTTGGAGAGGTTGTGGAGAGTGGTGCTGCCTTTGTTATCGCCTCTGGTCACTCCAGCGACGTTGCGTTTCCATCCTGTGCACATTCTTATGGAGCTTTGCGCGAGAAAAGGCATGAAAGTCAGTTTCTTCCGGACAGAGGCGACCACGACTGAAGTAAGGGTGACTTTTGGAGAAGAATCGCTTGTGGAAACTTCGCAGGAGAAGCCGAGGAAATCTGCAAAGATAGACGCGGCTCTGAAGATGCTTGCCAGTCTCCAAGTAAGCTCTGGAAATTCCTAACGCAGTCCTCTCTCTTTTTTTTGCTAGACTTCGCGGTGCTAAGCTTTTGTTGTATCAAAAAGTAAATGTCTAGTGGAGAAAGAAATGAAAATATATTACTCAACAGTTGTATGAATAATTCAAAATATTATTGTCCATCAGTTTTATTTTAAGCACCAGCTTCTAATGCAAACTAGAACTCCAAGGTACCATATTTCTCAGCTGGTGAAACCCATCCCACCCCATGATATCTCGCAGAGATCCAGCTAAACTCTATATTTGCAGCCATGAAATACTCCAAGCTTTGCACATACCCCATGACATTTCCCTTGTTCAAGTCCTTGTTTGACAGAACCTTTTGTTTGATGTCAGCAAACTCTTTCTCCAAATCCTGAACCATTTCTGCAACTTTCTCCATTGCCTTGTTTAAGCCACAGTTGCTACTGTAACCAACCAGTGCCACAGAGTTGAGGTACTGTTCACAAGCCCATTCCTTTTTGAAGGAGACCATGTCATTGGCTAGGAACGAATGGCGATTTGCAATCACTTCCAGCGTTTGAATATGAGCACTCCTTCCTCTTCCAGCCCAAAATTGTTAAGGAAGTCCATTGCCACCATGCAAGGGATAACCCCAGCCGCTACCTCCCTCATCCACATATAAATCTCAAAGTTGGGAACCAGTTTCTTGTGAAGCCAACTTGATTCCACCTCAAACATGTCGAGCACATCAATCATGGAATTCGAAAACTGGGTCTTATGTCCAGGATTCATGAAACCCTTTAGATCAGTGTAGACATCGTTAAGCATCCCCATTTGCCGCAGAAGGTTTTTACTTTTCACCAGAGTTATGGCTTGATCATAGTCGTTTTTAAAGATGAGCTTGGGCATTCTTCAGGTCAGAGACAGGGACAGAAGGATCGTCCATAAAATCATCTGCAAGAAAGAACCAGCACAAGAATTTTGCCATGGGAATCAATCTCTCTGAAGAAATGGCTTGGTATGCAAAGCCTGCAAGTTTTCCAAGCTTGCTCTGAATGGCAAACTGAGTCTTGTGATGAGTGAGATCATGCAGCTTCAAAAAATCCATACACCATTTGTCAATTTCAGCATCCACCTTTGCATCATAAGCAGGATTCAAATCAACATGATAAGAGCTGTGCGGTGGTATGTAAAAGCTTTTGGCGCCCTCAAAAATGCTAAGGATAGAGGAGGCTCCCATGATGGATCTTCTTCTATGTTTCTCCAGGGCTCTGTAAGCTATATAATGCCTGGGTATGACTTACTATTCAGCACCCGCCAAGAAATATACAAGGAGAAAGATCTATTGGTAATATTCACTGAATAAAATTACTATTAACTCATTAAAAAGTTAATAAAATTATCACAAGACAAACAAATATTTCAAAGGAAGAATTTCAGGCAAAACTCTTTACTTCTGAAAAGCAAAGTCAGACAAAATCTCTTAACACCGTTTTAGAACCAAAAAAACAAGTGTGTTGGGTCCCTATAATTAAAGAACTCTTTGGCCATCGTCAAAGATGCCGAGCCCAAGCCGCATTCAGGGCTATGATCTGCAAGGAACAAAACACCAAAGCCATGTCTCAACGAAAATACCCACGACAGCACTCGCAGAAAAACAAAGCTTTGAACCCTATGCGGAGTTTACATTGTCTGCAGGTTCCCTTTGACGATATCAATCTCCGTTTCAGAGTACATTGAGTTAAGAACCAAAATTTCGTCCACCTCATGGCGTCCAAAACACCACCGCCAGAGCTTGTCCCCAGTGATGTAAGGCCTTTCGCAAAGAGGGTGTTGCGGCAATCCATGAGAACTTCCATGTTTACTGCCACGTAGCCCATGTGATGCGCGAGGAGCTCTTGCTTGGTGTAGGCGCTGCTGCAAAAAGTATATTTCAGAGGAAGAATTTCAGACAAAACTCTTTGGTCACTTGGTTGTAGACAATTTTGGGGATATACCGGTAGCATGGTTTAGAGTTCTTACAGTACATTGTCTCTTATCGTCTCTATTATGTCTCTCACTCTTGTCATCCGGGAGTGAACATCTGGCTCGTTTTTGCTACTTGACTTTCCAACTAAAGCACAATTAGGTTAGAGGAGCTATTCCCTTCAGGATTGGCATGAGCTTCGTTGTCGTGTTTGCCCCAGGAGAGGGCAGCGGCGGCAAAGAGCTAGTGCAGCTTCACGCAAAGTCTACCGGAGCGGTGACCATGGCTCTGGTTTTTCCAAGTCCTTGCGCTCTTGTCTACGACCACCAAGGCGAGGAGCTACTTGCGCTCGAGTCACCAATATCGATCGACGTGGGAGCGTTCGTTCCTCGCCTACCGGGTTTCAGGCTCATCTTGTCGCAGCTGTGCGGTCGAGGATGGGAGATCGGGGCTCTGACCCTCGGCAAGAGAATGGCGCGACTCGTGCAAGCCATTACGGAGTCGGACTTGGAAACTGCGTACACAGCCATAGATCTCGTAGACAGCTTGAACCATTGTTGGTCCCGGAACATGCTGGTCCCAGGCGAGAATGGAGAGGCCCCGCTTCTTGCAGCAGTGAAGCGGCACCATCGACTGGGTGCTTGTGCTGCTGGTGATGGATTTGTCCAGTAGCTTTTGGAAAAAACGGGGCAGACCCAGACTTTCCATCGCCAGATGAGATATTTCATTGGTCAGGTAACATTCTTTCTTGTCACATCCTTTACCTTGTCATTCGTATGGTTGGTTCTCTTTCCAGGCGTACCCACCTGGCCGTTCAGCGCCCATCAAATGGATGACTTGGTCACGCTCTTCAAGCCCATGGCGCGGCCTGTCGAGACTCTCACCAGCAAGCACTTGTGCAACGCTCGCGATCCCGAGCATCTGGAGCTCTTGCTCAAGCTCCCTCATATGGATCCCAACCGGACCTCGCCGGAGGGCTGGCTCTTCCTCATCGCTGCGCTGAATCGAATAGAATTGGCGAATGTCAAACTGCTGATAGCCGCTGGAGCCGATCCAACGCTGCCGACTTACGATGGTTTTTGGCTGCTCGCCAGAGCGGCATTCTCGAATGAGGATGAAGAGATCTTGCGAATTATGGCAAAGGCGGCCAGCAATATGAACGTCAAACCAGGGGGGTATACGGTTCTCCGCAGTGCTTGCAGCGCTCAGAAGGCTGGAGTGTGTCGAGTCTTACTTGAGTGCGACGGACGTTTATGACGGATTACCGGACTTGAGGTCTGCTTTGAGAGATCTCTTCCACTAGTCCAACACGCCCATGTCAGATTGCCTGCTAAGTTCGTGTTCGTAATTTATATATTAAACTTAGAATGTGAACTTAAGCAAATACCAGTAGCATGGTTTAGAGTTCTTACAGTACATTGTCTCTATTATTTCTCTCACTCTTGTCATCTGGGAATGAACATCTGGCTCCTTTTTGCTAACTGAACCACTATTCCCTTCAGGGTTGGTGGTGGGGCGGGAGTGGCATTCAGCATTCAGGCTGACTTTTAGGGGTGGAAGATATAGTCTTACAGCATCAGCAGCTTGAGTCCGGAGGGGGTGGGGTGGGGGGTGGCGGCGGGGGAGTTGGTCGTGGTTGGAATGACCACCTGGATATGGCCCGTCTCTTTGATCCACAAGCTCCAGCCGTATACGACGCACAGGAACCCCCGCGTCCGTGCAAAGTTGGCAACATGTATCTCCAAGAGCGTCGCTAAGCTCGTAAGTTCCTTTCAAGATCTTCATGGTTTCGATCGAAAGTTTCTCACATTTTCCTTTTTTCCTCCAGGGCGCCGAAGGCATCAGGGACTATGGATTGGAAGCTTTGATGCAAATCGCCGCTGCACAGCTCATCGACCAGCTCCCCGAGGCTCGCGAATCCGCTCGTAAGTTGGTGGTGGAGCTCCACTCGGCCTTCCAGCAACAGCCGGACGTGAGCTCCAATCTCTCCGAGACGAGCAGCAGCAGCAGTGGCAGTGACTCCGACGATCAAAACCAGAAATCCTGGGAGGAGTTTTGTTCCAGCATCCTCACTCCCGCGGTGGCGCAGCCGATTCTTCGCGTCAGCACCAGGTGATCGATTTGATACCGCCTCTATCAAACGATCGTCTCGAGGGAGAGGGTCTCCTCCAAATTGTACAAAAGAAAGCTCTTATGCCCTGTAGATTTTCTAGTGGTGCCCAAGACCAGGAGTGAGAGAGAGAGAGAGAGAGAGAGAGAAGATGATCGATCGATGATCGCCACCATTGGCTGGTTCTTTTTTCCTTGGCGAGCACGAAACAAAATTAAAAACCCATTTTAAAGGCAAAGTTGTTTGGCACTAGGCTAGGGCTTTTCAGACAGGGGTTTTTGGCGTCATGGATTGCGCGAAGCGGGCCAAGACGATGATCCCGCGCGGGTAAGAGACGATCTAGTAGCCTACATTCTACCTGATTCGCGTTGCAGCTACCAGAAAGATGTGTTCCAGACGGCATA